TGACTTGTGTCCATTTATCCTCTTGCGTAGTGAAAAAATATTGAGAAGTGACTTGATTAGTATATACCATTATTTTTAACAGTGAAGGTGATTAACCATAGGAACAAACTACTAAAGGATGTGTAAAAAGCAACAGAGAGTCCTGTGGCACCTTTAAGACTAACAGATGTATTGGAGCATAAGCTTTCATGGGTGAATGCCCGCTTCGTCAGACGCAAAGATGTGGTGGATTCTCTATTACTTGGATGTCTTTAAATCAAGACTGCATGTCTTTCTAAAAGATGCTTCAGTTCCACCAGAAGTTATGAACTTGATACAGGAATTACTAGGTGAAATTCTGTGGCCTGTTATGCATGAGATTAGACTAGGTGATTGCAATGGTACTTTTCTGGTCTTCAAAAATCTGACTCTCTAAACTGGTGAAGCCACAAGCCAATGAAGGATCTTGAAAGCCAGGCAGTCACTGAAAGCCAGTTGTGCTTCTTTTTGCAGGCCCCTTGGAGAAAGGACAGGTGAAGAATGAAGCACTAAGAGAGCTAAGGGTGGAGCTTAGCAAGAAACACAAAGCACAGGAGCTGGATGGTTTTGGCCTTTATCTGTAAGTGTCTGGGAGTTTTCATATGAACCCTTGCCTGAGGAGGTGGGGTGGGGATGCAGTAACCTCTGGAGCACTCTGTTCTTCCTCTGCCATTTTCCTAAGGGAGAAATAGTATCTTTTTGGAGAATTAGCAAACATCCTGTTTAGTGACTGGTAAGATTGCAGCAGGACATGCCCGATCCACATTAAAGAGAGAGACTAATCTGGAGATGGAAGGGAATGTCTTACTATGTGTGTGGATGTGTTATTGACAGCATTGTGTATTCCTTTGCATCTTCATATTGATAAGTCTTTCCCCTTAACTTATTTCCACACTTTTAAGGTTTGGGGTCAATAGTATGTCCTGCTGCAATAGTAAATGCCACTGAATTTAGGTTTTTTTGTTTGCTAATTTCCTAGGGGGTGGTGTGTGTGTGTGTGTGTGTGTGTGTTTTTGTTGTTTGTTTTTTTCCAGGCAGCTTGCAGGCATTTCACATTTGTGACTGTTCCATTTAATTTCCATTAACTAGATTTCTCACTTTTGTGTCGCTCCCCTTTCTGAAGTTAAATGTTACTGTGGTGGGCTTTACTGGTATTTCCCTCCCCTAAGGATCTTTAAATTTAATTATATTATGGTCATTATTACTGAGCAGTTTAGCTATATTTACCTCTTGGACCAGATCCTGTGCCCCACTTAGGACTAAATCAAGAACTGCCTCTATCCTTGTGGGTTCCAGGACTAGGTGCTCCAAAAAGTAGTCATTATTGACGTCTAGAAACTTTCTCTGTATCCTGTCTTGAGGTGACATGTACCAATCAATATGGGGATAGTTGAAATGCCCCATTAGTGATGCTACAAAAACAAACCCAATAATAATCTCCCTGAGCATTTCACAGTCACCATGACCATCCTGGTCAGGTGGTTGGTAGTATATTTCTGCTGCTATACTCCTATTATTCAAGCATGGAATTTCTATCCATAGAGGTTCTATGGTACCGTTAGATTCATTTAAGATTTTTAGTATATTTGTCTCTATGCTCGCTTCCACATATAGTGCCATTCTCCCACCAGCACAACCTACTGTCATTCCTGTCTATTTTGTACCTCGGTATTACCG